GGCGGCGAGGCTCGGGCGCGGGCTCCCGCTGCTCTCAGGAGGGTCAAAGCGTTCCTGGCGGAACTACCAACTCGGCACGCGTTTAATAAACCGTGACTTTTACAACAAAGGATGGTAGGCCGACAGACGAAATGAAGAAGGGGGGGGGGGAACAAATATATTTTTAATAGAAAACAACCAGTTTAGCAATAAACATTAAATAGAATTATGTACATAAACAAAGGTAAGCCAAAACGGGGAAAAGGAGACTCATTTCTTGATCAAAGGCAAAGAGTAATTTAGTGAAGTCCCTGCTGGCTCTATGTATATTCACTTAAGAGACAGGAAGACCATATTCCAATCCCATCTTGAACAGTTTGTCACATAAAACCAGGTGTTTTCAGACTGAAAAGTTCCAGATTAGGTCTCGTAGCAACATTTCTTTCACTTGAGAGAATAACCTGCTTAATCATTTTTTATGCAAAAGGATTCTAAAAGCGGCTGTGTGAAAATACAATAAGGCAGGTGGGTCACCTGCTTTCTTATTAACTAGCTGATCAGGATTAAAATATTTGTGCTCAGGACTAGAAATTCCGTGCTTTTTGCAGACGCTAGTACCTGGTATTTTCGAAATTTATTTGTCTTTACATTTGGGCATATAAGCGAAAGAATAATTTTTGAGCAAACTCATTACTTACGTATTTCAACCTTAACTTAAATGTCAGCTATTTGAACCTGCTGAAACTTTTGTCTAATATTTAGCCAGAACCTTTTAATATCTGTGCTAATAGACCTAAGTCAGAATCTTTTACAGCCCAGACCTGGACATCTGCAACAAGATATTCAGTATAAAATAACAAGTAAAAACTGAAAGCGTCAAATCCATAACGAAAGCTTCTTTTCATGCCACAAACACATATCTGACTTTGGAGTCAGAAATGCAGTGCTAAGATTACAGCAGGCAGCTTTAACAGAAACGATTAAGCAGAAAGCAGAGCCATTTATTTTAAACACACACAATGAGTTTTGCTCCCTAAAAGGTATGCAGCTATCACCATAACTAGGTGTCTCTCTTCTCTACACTTAAAAAAAAGACATTAGCCTGGATTACCTGAAAGTCCCAATTCTAATAGGAAAACTACAAGCTGATGATAACATCAAGTTGAGATTCAACATACATTTTTACAGACTGTCAGCATGAAAGGCTGGCTATTTGGAATGAAGCCACCTTCCTCTCACTGTATTAAAATCTTATAGGACTGAAACAAGACAACACTCACTAGCTTGCTACTTTTCCCAGTTGTAGGATTCATTTGTATTTGTTTTCTTTTTCACCTATGGGGCTGCACTCCCACAGGAAAATTTAAGATGCTATTCTCCCATCAGACATTGATTTTTCTGTGGGAATTGGGGAATTTCAAAAACACAGGACAGAAGACAGCAAATCAGTTAACATATAAATAGCTCTGCTGAATGAAAGAGTATATGCCGTTGGCTAGTAGTACTATTAAGCAGCAGGAGCAGAACTCCTAGGCAACTGAGATCCTGTTTACATGCAAATGTCTGGTAATAAACAGAGAAAAAAATACAGAAATTAATGTCACATTCAAAATCGTCTTATGCAAACCTGCAAGGAGCTAGAAAAACAACAGTTCCCTTGTAATTTTTACATATACGGAGCAAATGTTTTATACTGCGGGTTGCTTGCCAATATATACATCTTTCCCTGCATGAGGTAAACTATTGCTACAAGAAAAAAAAAAGGGGGGGGGGGAGCGAGGTCGAACGAAAACACTGGGATGAGCTATGCTAGGATTAACAGGCTGCCGGAAACTCACAAACAGTTGAGATGAATTTCGTTTCTTTCTACTTTTGATTGATGACACTTGTAGACCAAAAGGAAATATATATATATAATATTTGTTTTTGCTTAGCTGTTTTGCACTAGAATCATCAAATGAAATTCATCACAATCACAACAAATTTATAGCAAGGCAAGGATTAGGAGAATGGAGTGGCATGTTTCACCAACATTCTCCAGAAGCAGCTGCTTGCCTCAGCATTCTGAATTGGAACAACAGAATATAGGGATTTCTTTTATTTAGAGCTTTTGTTAAGAAAATGGAAGTAAGACAAACTTAGCAAAGCAAAAAAAATCCCTTCTTTTTGTTCTCTCCACAAAAAACAAAGGTAGCTTTGTAAGTGTTTATGAAGGAGGGTGAGAAGGGAATCATCTAACAAAACAAAATATATCTACTGACACTTGCATCCTATTCTTCGTATTTGTAAGAGGCAGACACAGAATATAAATAAACTGCACTAACACAACTGGCAGCCTGGGACCCTGTTCTTCCATTCCCAAAATGACTGGATTCAAGGCTCCTTTCAAGCATTCAAACCAGTAAGAATTTTAATTAAGGTTTAAACCTGCTTGGACAGTCAGATGTTAAAGGAATACAGAACAGAAAGCTTTCGTGTAACTACTGCATTGAGTTCTACAGCCATCAGGGTACTTCAGAACCAAAAAACACAGAAAGTTCATGGCAGAAGATAAAAGTAAAGAAATAGACACAAAGGTCTGTGAAAACATCTCCCATTTTGCTGTAGGTGTCCATGGAGCGACTAATCACTTCCGCTGGGATTCCAGATAGTAAAAGAGCTGCAGTTAGTACTGTCGTTTTCACCTTCTTTTCACACTAAAAGAAAAAACAATATTAAGTTAGTTCTTCTGTTATAATCCAATTCTGCTTTAAAGACTGCATATGTTGTGCTAGTTTCACCCACAGCCAAGCGCATTCCAAATCCATGGGTAAGAGTGGCAGGTTGGGACTGATTCTCTCCAGGATTCACAACACATCCTAGCTAGAGATTCAGGCTATGATGGATCCAATGGAGCTGAGTGAGAGTCCGGTTCACAGCAGACAAAAGTCCCCACGGGCACTATGCCTACTTCACGCTGGCACAACAGACTGTAAAGCGTGGCTATGCAGCTGCCCCAGCATGAGTGGCAAGAGTCCCAGACAAGGGAAGCTCAGGTGCGTGAACACAAGCCAGGCATCTCCACTTGCTGAGCAGGATTAACCTCATCACACTACTTGGCAAAAGAAACTGCTACTTTTCTAACATAGAAATATGATTTAGAATTGAAAACCAACTGCTCCTTTCTCATCAAGTACGACTCCATTTGGTAGTTTTAGCCTCTGAATTCAAAAATCTCTCTAAAAGCCCTTCTCAAAGCTGCTTTTCTGTCCATAAGGTAAGGCCGTGTAGGAGCCTGAAGACGCAAAGAGGTCGGACAGGCAGGCAAACAAGTTTGAAAAGCAGTTCAAAGTTTTAGCAATTTAAGAATATTTGCTGGATATCTGAATATGATCCAATCTAAATTAAGCATTCAAGAATCTTCCTAGGCCTGGTGAGAGGAGAATGAAGGAAAGTAAGCTGATTGAGCTCATCTGCGTATAACAACTGCAGGAAAAGCAGGTTGTGGAAAGAAACCACCTCTTTAAATTCTAAAACTGAATAGCTGATTTTAAAAACAGCAGAAACTAGAGATCAAAAGATCTAGCAGATAAGCTACTGTAAGTCTAAGGCTAATTCTATTGTTCTGTGTTTTGACACATCACCTTAGAATGACTGCTATGAAGTTCAGATTTCAACTACGTCCTTAACTATAAAAGAACTACTACTCATTTACTCTGATTTTCTACAGTTTATCTAATATTCCTTATAAAATGCAAATGCTTCCCTTCAACTATGGATTGAGCATCATTTAATCCTGCTTTGCAACATAGACCTGACAAAATCATCAAGCAAAAAAAACTCCAGACAAACTTCAGTACAACTAACTGACATAAACATACAAAGGGATACAGCAAATTTTGCTGATAAGCAGGAAGTTTCACAGACAAATATATTGCTTATTTCAAGTCTTCACTCAAACCAACATTAGCAATGGAATACAGAGCCCTTAAAAGCCAGGGACTGTCTCATTTTGTAATTTGAAACAATTTTGTTCAGACATCACATACACCATGGCTGTCAACAGAGCTAACATCAGTAACTGCAGAACAGTACTGGCTGGGAGGAAAACAAAAGCTTCCTAAAGACACAGAAAAACTACCTGGCTTTCCTGGGCAGATGCTTCCAATTAGGCTACAGCTAAGTAAGGTGCTAGTCCTCACTTTCACAGCAACTTTAAACAAAATTTGGACTAAATCTGGGAAGATTAAAAACTAGTATTAACTAATAGCATTCGATAACTCCCAATTCCACAGTTGAAAACGCAAGGAGAAAATTATTGGTCATAAAACAATACAATCTAAGCAGAAATTTAAATTAAAAGCATTTTAAATTACTCTCATTTTGAAACACTATCTTACCTTTGGAAAGTACTTGGACAGTCCCATGTAGGCAAGTTGTAGAGTAAGAAACGGTGCAAAAATTGACTGTAAGAATAAGAAAGCATGTAAGAATAAGAAAGCATATATGAAAATTAACTTGGTCTGAAGTAATAACTAAGAAAACATAGGAATTTAAGGCTTCCAAAATAATACATGAAAATTAGGTAGGTAAAAAATATTTAATGGACAACAGCAGCACCATTCTTGAATACTACAAACCTAAACAGACAAGTTCCAAGTCAAGAATAGGGTTCTACCTTATTTTCTTTGAGCCTACAAGCCTACACCTGAAATTACACAACCCTATAGCACTGCGTAAAAATGAACACAGTGATCCAGAAGGTGGCAGGCTGTACCAGTCACATACCTCTGTATAAGGTATAGGCAGACACCTGGAATATTTGGGAACTAGTTTTCTCAAAAGACTGATCAACGAGTAGGGGCTATTTATCTTGGGAATACTGTCGTTTTTACTCTATTATTCTTTTGTAGACTCCAAACTACAAGAGCAGTTGACTAATGTCCACAAAGATGGGAACAAATGTGCAGGGGACTTAACAACTATTCCCATGTCTCTGCTCCTCAAACGCTATGGACCCAAGGTGTGCTACTCAGCTGCTATACAGTGGCTGCATTAGACAGATAACACAGACTCCGAGATGATTATCACCTCAAAGAGCATCGGAGATTTGTAAGCTTTTATATAGATGTAAAGAGTGCCTGAAGTTCATCTAACCACTATCTATAGACTTCAGCCCTAGAAAAACAGTAATTTCACAAAGAGCAGAGTCCTGAGTTTGCAGTAAACTAGCAAAATAGAACAGAACTGTTTGTTTCCCTGAACTCACCAAGTATTTGCACACAAAAGCCCTGACTGCAATGGCAAGCAGAGCGCATCCCACTAATCTAAAAATGCGAAAAGAGTCAAACTCCTCCACAGCATTCCCATTCTCTTGGCTTGGCTTCTCATTCATTAGCTGATTCCTCAGCTTCAGAGCTTCATCGAATCTGGATAAGTATTGGTCTAATCCATGTCTAGGTGGCCGTGGAGCAGCTTCAGATGATAGTTCCCCTCTGTTACGGTGACGGAGCTCACTTGTGCCCTCATTGACAAGCTCTGGAGTTTTACTGAACAAGTCCTTCTTATCCCCTTTGAGGTCTACAATGCCGCTTGCGTGGTCAGTTGTTCCTCCTAAATTACAGACAGAATCACCAAGCACAATTCGCTTGGAAACTGAAGGAAGAGGAAGGGAGTTTGATTTTTCTTGTTCATGCTGAAGTTTCGATTCTGTGTGACTTTCGTCGTCTAAAGAAGAGAAACAAGAGCACAGTTATGCATGCTGGATACCTAGAACAACCCTTTAGTAGTACTGGATTGGGATCTTGGGTTGCTGTCTCCACTTCCAAAGTGAAAACATACATTTATAATTAAAAGTGATGCTAGTTATTAATAACAAGGACATTTGAGATAGCTGAATACCAACGATCCCATTTCATAAAGAAATGGACTCCACAGAAAAACAACCTGCCCAAGAAAGGTATACAGTCAGACTCAGGTTACACCATAGCTCATGATGACGAGAGAGAAAGAGCGCAGCACAGACTGGACTTCATGAAAACAATCATCAGCTTCACCACAATTACACTTTTCCACAACGGGACTCAACGCACTCGTGGCTCCCCTCCACAGGCCTCTAAAGGACTCTGCGCATACCGCGGGCTTTGCATGGCAGGGCATGCACAGGAGATGCAGCAGATGTCAGAGATACAGCTCTGTCACGCAGGTCAAGAGTCAAAGCTGTCAATCAGTAACGGAAAAATGAAAACACTGGACATACTTAGGCAACAAGACGGTATGCTCCACAAAAAAAAGATGCTCTTCCAAACGCAAAGAGCAACATATAAGTAGACAAAGATTCAAAAAAAGTGAATCACTCAGAAAGAGCATTAAAGACAGAGGAACGAGTAGGCAATAGAAAAAGTATGCGTTAGCTTCTTTTTTTTTTTCCTGTTGTTGCAGGCGAAGCAGTAAAGCGTTAAACTTGAAGACACCACCTTACGGTGACAGAGACGACGATCAAGAACACAAACTGGTCCTACCAGAGCGGGGCGGGGGGAACGGACACTGGAGAGGAGCGTTTTGCCGTATGAAAGCAGACTGACTCATGGCCTACGGCCACCCTTGAAAACCGAAATCTGGGCATTCTTTCCCGGCAAGGCGGTCCAGCGCTTCACGGTACTCACAGAGGGATAAACGACCTACCTATGAATCTGCAAGAAAACGCCGTGTAGCGCCCACGAGCACCGCGTGACCGGTTACTACCCCAACACGAGGCAACGTCAATGTAAAAGGCAGGTACGAAACGGAGCGGTCAAGGAACAGAAAACGTGTGGGAGGCCAGCTGTCCCTGAAGGGAAACGGCAGCTTGTCCGCTCGCTCTGTCAGAGCGCAGCGGGCCGGGGCAAAGGCAAATTTCTGGCGAAACGGGTATTTCGCGAAGGAGGGAGGGGACCTGGAGTGCCAGAAAAGGTGGTGCTTCCCCCCAGACGGTGCTGAAGGGGGAGATCGCGCCGAGGGGCCGCCCCCGGGCCGCCGCCCCCCCCCCCCCCCGCGCCCCCCCCCCCCCCCCAAACCCCGCTCCACCTGACTCCCCCGAGGACCTCGCTGCCGTTCACCGGGAGCGGGCTAGGGGAAGGAAGAAGGAGGGAGCCGGGGCCGGGGCCCGGGGAC